ATTTTATGGTTCAATGTGGAGTTGTTTTTCAGTACATTAGTGTTCATATCAAGAAACATCAGCCCATGTAACTCTGAATACCCTTTAAATTCTCTATACCTAAATATCTATAGCTGTTCAATGAGCTGTTGACCTGTGCACCACTTTGATCTGAGGATGAAGTCTCTGAAGTTCTTGTTTGATGGGCTTGGACACCCCCATTTTATATAGAAGAAAATCAGATATCAGAGGTCCTCTGGGATTTCTCAGTAATAATCAGTATTGCCCAGGCTAGGCTCTGGTCTTTCCTATTACATCACCTCCATATTGCTAGAGAGCTTTACCTTCTCTCAGCATGGGTTCCTAGGACACTGGGGTCCAAGGACATATTCTCAGGAATGAATGAATGTTTTAAAAGTGTTTAATGATTTCTCAAGTTTGAAAGGTTGTTTCATTAAGTACATTTAATGCTTGAAGAAATTATATAATCTTATATTGTTTTCTGATAGATGTCATGCTATGCATACAATTAAATGAACAAGTATATATGCCTTAAATACATCATGTTTAGAAACTTTGACAGTCAGCTAGAACATTGAATTGGCTTTTACTGTGGATATTTTATAATGGTTTTGGAAAGGAATACGATTGTCACTTCAGTATATATTACTCTTACTGTTTCATAGGTAAATAATTTGGATTAATTAGAGGCAAATAATGGGATGAATAAATTAGCTAATTTAGCTTTTTCATTAGATTTTATTCTCATTTTGGTTTTGCTGCTTTATTTTGATGTGCAGATAAGCCACCATTGATTCATTTAAAGATTCTTTAATTAAATACTCTATCTGAAGCATATGGAGTTAAGTTCTAAGCTATGGGGCACAGGATGGAAAGATTACTGCTACAAAATTTATTTTGATCATATTGAATTTTAATAGTTCATTTAACTCAATATAATTTGTTTCTTAGATTGCCAGATAATGATTTTGAGGATGAAGCAATATTTTATTCTCTTTTGTATCCCATCATTTGCATATTGCTTGTGAAGTGGAAGAATAAGTAGGTGAAAGAAGGGACTGAAAATGAAATGTCACAAAAATCCTCCTGCATGATGTTGTGTGCTACCTCAAAAACTGAATCTATGCAAGGAACATTCTAGTCTTCTCTTCCCCAGCATTCTTCTGGGAATTTTGGGTTTGGAGAGTCTGTTGTGCTTCTTACAGAATAGTCTTACAAAGTAATCAAAATAGTCTACCACAGCCTCATCATGTCCCCAAATCAGAGATCTCTCTTTTCTATCTGATTAGAGGATAAAAGTCCCTTTCTTCCATGCACTGATGTATACATATACTGCATTTTCCTGCCTTCTGATATAATTGGATATTAACATAAAATTTCCATAATGAAAATCGGGTATGGAGCAAAAACATACTAGGGGCATGGAATCTCATAAGCTTGCTTTGTTTTAATTATTCACCAAGAATGGCCAAAGGAAAACAAAAAACAGAACCACTTCCTAAGAAAATACTGCAGACAATTTGACATAACTTTCAGAATACAGAAATGCTTTCATAGACCAATCTGTGCAGCTCCTAACCCTCCTCTTCCTCCTCCTCCTCTTCCTTCTTCTTTTTCCATTATGTGTTGCTCTGTAATTTCAGTTGAGGACCTACCAAATATGCCAGAGTTCCTGTTTTCACTAAACATTTCAAAAGCACACTTAATTGAAATATATTTTAATCAGAATTTAAGACAGAAGATGGTTTTAAATATCTGGAAATTAAACAAAAGTTATTTCAAGACCTTTGAGGGCATCAGTTAAAACACGTTTCCCTAAGCTGGATGGAAACTAAAGACAACGATGAGGTCTCCAACCTGGATGCTGTTCCTCATTGCCGTCTTCTAAGTGAGGAAAAATCATTCAGGACACTCAAAAGAGAAGTGCCATGTAATATGAGGAATCATTAAGTTTTAAAAATTATTGCAACAAAAGACCCCTTGCTATTAATCTCCTTCAGAATAATCCCTGTGGCTTTAAACTCCTATCATTCTTGCCACTTTCTGAAGTAGTTCTGGAAGTCCTCTTTCTTGAGTGTCTTTAGTTGTGCTTTAATGACTGCCTCAATGTCCAAAATCAATTCAAAGCATCTATGTTTCATGGTCATCTTGAATTTGGAGAAGAGCCAAAAGTAGCAAGATGACAAATCCAGTGAATAAGATGGATGAGGACACACAGTAATGTTTTTATTTGACAGAAATCACCACACCAGAAGGAACATGTAATACAAAGCACTATTGTGTTGGAAGATAGAAAACTTTGTTCCTTTCTCAGGCTGTTCCCTGCAGACATCCATTCTTAAATGCTCTAAAATGCCCTATAAACATACAGAGTTCACTGTATAAATCCTGGGTACAAACTCAACTCACACAATTCCAACAAGGTCAAAAAAATATATATATAAGATCTAACTTCAAGGATATGTACTGGGTAATTTCTATTGAGAAATTTGGCACTTGATCACAGGATTATACCCATCGACTCAGTTTTCATTTCCCCTGAGACCAGTTCTTTAAAACCTTGGAACTGAAGTGGCATGATCACATGACTCCAGTAAAATATGTTGCTCTTCATCTGTGATTCATGGTACACTGAACACACATTCTCTCAACCATACCTTCTAACCAACTGACTGCACCAAACAAATTGAAATTGTGAGACACTTGCTTGTGGTTTCTTCTAAGAAAGATCTCTGCCTTTCCACATGATGGCTTCAGCAACAGCATTCAGTGTATATTTGATCACACCTCCTATATACAACTCCAAGCAATTTCTCTTGGTAGAGAGATGTGCCAGGTAAGCAAAGGGAGTTATGAATATTCAGAATGCTAACCCAGTGTTATATTCTGGGTAAAATACCTGTAACATTGTAAACCTACACAAAGCTATGTAAATTTGAAGTGATGGTTTAAGGTTTATGAGCTAAAAGCTATTCTAAATTACTGAAGTGACAAAGTTTACTTGAAAGCTTTTGTGCTTTTGTTCTCTAAGTTTAAAGAAAAGTTTTCTACTTAGAACATAGATAGTATAATAATCACAAAACACTTTAAAATTCATTGAATTATATTCAGAATTGTGTGCTTGTTTTTAAGTGTCCATTGCTTGTATAAATTTTACAATTTTCCTTTGTGTTGCAAAAGTTCTTAAAACAATTCAATGAATGCCCCGATCAATAGTTATTTGAGAGTAAAACTACATGCAATAGGTTTTCCAAAGAACACGCACATTTTGTGGATAAATTTTGAACTTAATAATCCACTCTACGATGGGAGCCCCAAAATATAAAGAATTTAACAAGCAACATAAAGGCGAGATGGCAAGAAACAGAGACGTAGAGCCTGTGAAGATGGGAAGGCCATCTGGGAAAGGAAGGAGAGAGGGTGGTGGGAGTGGGGAGTGAAAATGATGAATATGTGATTTGTATGTGTTCCTGTTCCCCAAGATGAATGTAATTATCATTTATTGTAAATATATACTAATTAATAATAAAAATACATTTTGTCTTAGGATGAATGCTTTCCTGCCCTGCTGGCTTGATTGGCATTGCTGTAATGCTCTTTTTTATCTCTCTCATTTGAAACAAATCTAGCAGGATGGTCTAGCTTGACCGCATCCCATCTCATTCTTCCTTTCTAGGCATAACTGAGCACATTACAAGCGTTCTTCCCAGAGGAATTACAAAGTTTCCCATGGAGAGTTGACCTTGCAAATTCATAGCTAAAATAACAATCAAATGATACAAAGTATTAAATAAACAAAAAACTTCCTGGAATATTTGAGTTTTCTGACTTATGTTTTAATTTGTCATTGAACATTTGGCAGTCATTATCATGACAAAATATGATAATGGTTCTGAACAGAAGAACACATGTTTACAAGAGCTAGATAAGAGTATTGTCAGCAAGGTCTTCGATTACATTGATGAATGACCCAGCGCAGTTGAGTCCCAGGGCACGTCTGCAAAGCCGTGCATATATATATATATAGTGAAGACTCATGAGTTGTACAAAAATGCAATCTTCTATTTTCTCCATCAGGGTTGTTTGTATTTATATTCCATGCCCTTTACTAAACATATGGAAACATAAATTCTCAAGCACATTTTTGTGCTTTCCCAGACAAATTGTTTTGATGAACTCCACTTTATCAGGTTGTGTTGGTCTTGGTGTCTGCTTAAACTTCAGATTGCCTACTCACGTAACCGAATGAACGTGGATGTCAGGTCAATTGACTTGGTTCCCACAGAAAGTTTTACAAGACAAGAAGACATTTTATATACTTCAACAATACTTACCCAAAAAGCTTGCAATCTAAGTAAAATGTAACCCTCTCTTACCAGCCACCAACCATGCACTCCACTTTTTAAGTAGCTTTTTAGCAGAGGATTTCTTTGCTGTTCAATGAACGGTTGAGTGTTGTTCATTCTGTGGACCACGGGCTCCTGATGAGCTGTGTCAGATGTGTCTTCTCAGAAATGCCGAGCAGTGGCACTTCTCTGCTTCTGTTCTGACATATCCTATTAAGGGCTACGGAAAATCAGCTGAAGAGGTTTGTATGAAAGGAGAATAAGACGGAGAGGAAAATATGTTTCCAAGAAGTTGAGGGAATTTAAGAGAGAAATGGTAGAATTTAAATGTGATTGGTCTTATTTTGAATAGGGACAATGGTGTAAGTATTGACAATACTTTTACTAGTTTCATTGTTATTAATGTACTAAAATGTCAAATTTAAGTTACTGAATGGTAGATTTTGATTATTCATATCCATCAGAAAGTGAGAGTTACAAGTAAACTAAATGTTTTATATTAATATATTAACATATCACTTAGGATCTAAATGTAATGAAGAATTACTGTGTGTCTTTCAGTATCGTCCTTATTGTGCTGAAAGTTACACTGCTACAATAATTATTTATTTATTTCCGCTCCAGGGATTGAACTCGGCACCTTGTGCTTGCGAGGCAGGTGGCAGAACCACTGAGTTAAATCCCCAGCCCAGTAAGTTTTAATTTTTATTTCAGCTATGTTCAAGATTTCATTTTGTAAGTTTTTTATTTCAATCATATTAACATAGAACACCTATTTTGATTTTGTTTCTTTTTCTTGCTTTTCTTCCTTTTCCCTCTCCCTATATCTCCTCTTTCCATTTTCTTCCTTTCTCTTCTCTCTACTTCTCATATGTGTTTTCCTTGTCTGTCATCCTGTTTATAAGATTAAAATCAAATGACAGAGGTGATTATTTTCAGTACTTATGCACAGGGTTTGTGTCACTGAGTAACTGATATAATTTGACTATTTGAGTAATTCTCCATGGGTATTTTTGACTCAACACACAAAAACATGCTGCAATTTCATTTGAATTTTTGACATAACCTTCTATAATCAAACGTGCACTATTTAAATACACACACACAACTTTGCAATGGTCTTGCCACGGCCCTTCTTAAAATTTTTAAAAATATTTCTAAGCCTAAGGATAAATATACCTTATCTGTTGATTTTTAAAATCCCTTAAGAATTTTGTGCCTGCCTACTTTTGGATAACATTTTCATTGACTCCCTTTTACACCCAGAACTAGAATCTTGCGTCACTTGTCCCTTGGCATCCAGGAAGAATGGATTTCAGGAGCCCTCAAGGTAAATTTTTTTCTTCGGGATTGGTTGAACCTTTGAGTGGTAAACCTCTCTAGCTTTGGTTAAGAAGCACCAGTTGTACTCAGTTTTCAAGTTATGAAACCAGTCAAGTTCTTCTAGGACACCACTACACTTTGTGCCCTGATATTCTCTCCTATCCACCTGGCTTTCTGGGAGGATTGTACAGATTTTTAAGACATGTCAAAGGAACTGTCTTCCCCACCTGAGAAGAATAATTGTTGTTTTTTTTTCCTCCAAGAAGTCCCTCGTTTTTGCCTGAATTCTGCCATTGTCACAACACAGCTTACGTTTCCTAAGAACTTGGAGGGCACATGCTCGTCTTGCTCTTCTCTTTATTCTTAGAGTGTGAGTGTTCCAGTGTCATGCACATGGAAAGGCATTAACGCTCCGCATGATTGATAAGTGACTCAAATGGTAGATAATGACAAGAGCCACAATAGCAAAATTTTTAGCACTGACTATATATCAGGAACTGCTTAAAGTACTTTAGATATTTGATTCAATATCCATAATCCACACAACAGCCATGTACTCCATTTCCTTCCTTTGGCCTGTGAGAAAGCTGATCGCAGAGATGCTACATGATTTCCCTAAGATCACACTGCTACAGGGGCAGATCTAATATTTGAGTGCAGAGAGATTGGCTCGGAAATACAGACTTTAGAGCCTCCATGAATTCCCTTCCTGGGTTGAGAAATTTAGGTATCTCCCATCCTCGCTAGGATATATTTTACTTTTAATATCAGAGCTAAAATCTCCCTTCATTTTAGGTCTTTTGCATTTATTTTCAGATACTTATCTTTCTGTTACCCAAAGCTGCTCTCATATTGAAATATTTGTCACTCTGCCAATTTGCTGTTTTATCACACTGTACTGTTATGTATATAATTTTTTCTGGTTGGAAGTCTATCCACCCCCAACCCTTTATTTATCTCCTTGATAAAAACAACAGTGTCTACTGAGAATGCTCAAAAATTGCTATTTCTTTGAAGATCTAGATGTTTCTTCTCTGAGATTTAAACTCCTTATTATTAAATTATTACAAAGAAATGTGGATTGGACAGTGCTAAATTTAAGAACCACTGTTCATCATTGTTACATGAATAAATGCAAGCATTAGAATTAGAACTCAGAGAGACGAAGCTGGTGCCAAGATGTAATAAACTAAAAGAACAAAATAAATACTTGTTTTTCGCAAAACTGCAAGTTCCTCTTGATTTTCTAGGTTGCATTGTAGCTTAATTTATTGTCAATGCAAACTTTTATAACAGGTATGGTGATGTAGCAGTAAAGATCAAGTTATCAACATATGATTTCCTATCTAGATAGTTTGCAAGATTAATGCATCTGCCTATGGTTTATGCTTTGCTGACTCCAGCCTCACAGAAATGAAACGTCATGAGTGGCAATGTGTGCTTTATTACTTAATTTGTGGCCTATCTTTGGGCGGGACAGAGAATCAATGTCTTTCTATTAGTTTCCATATTTTGTTTTATGAGTCCCATCCCTGACCAGTCTTGTCATTGATGAATTCTTCATGTTAAATAGCTGGAAATCAGATCAGAAAAGCTGGGCATATGGGATTAGAAAACTACTGGCAGTGAAAGAATAATTAAAAGGAATATTCAGATATATTCTAGAATCTACAGAGGAAAGCAAGACTCTCGTTTTCAATGACAGGGAGGAGACCAAATGAAATCAATCACACAAACAAAAAATAGAGCTTGAACGGAGCAAACCAATTTGTATTAACCCCCACACCCCAAATTAAGTTTTCACTCTGGAGAACTAGCTATCTTCAGCCAAATAGACTGATTCCGCTTCAGTTGTTCGCTTTGCTTTATGTTTTCTCTTACAACTGACTTACCAGTATCTTATAAGTATAACATTTCTATGTAACTAAAAAATCATCATCAGATTAGAATAAGGTCAAGAAATATGTTGATGGCTGGGCATGGTGGCACATACCTGTAATCCCAGCACCCGGGAGGCCGAGGCAGGAGGATCGCTGTGAGTTCGAGACCAGCCTGGGCTACATAGTGAGGTCCAGGTCAGTCTCAACTACATGGTGAGACCCTGTCTCAAAAAAACAAAAAACAAACAAAAAAATGTTGATGATTAGTGAATAGGAACCATTTGTAGTGCCATTTAAGAGTCAGGGTATAAACTGTTTGAGTTGCCTCTTGACTTCTAGGGGACCCAAGGTGCAGTATCTCAGGAGGCAAAGGTTTATTTCCTGCTAATGCCATTGAGCACACATTACTCTCTGTTTAGAGGACACTAGGTGTGTAAGTATGTTTCAGCTCAATTGTCATCTTGGTTGGTTTGGGAACTGGTTGGGGATGTGTGCAGTGCACATCAGGGTGTGTCTAGGGAGGTTCGTGGAGGCCTAGCTCAGGAGGATGTGCTCTTCCAACAGCACTCTTCCTTGGGCTTTGCTTCCCAGCTTTTCCTTTCAGTTACAGGTGTTAAGTATCTTGTCCCAGAAACAAGAAAGTTGACAAATACAGGGTAGTGCAGAGTGGTCAAAAAAGCATGAATTTGGTAAATATAACTAAGATTAGATTTCTGAAGACCATCTAAGTTTTGGAATTTCAGCAAGATATTGTTTAATTTTTCCACCTATAACATATAGATTCAAAATGATGCAATTTGAAGCTTGACAAAAAATAAATAAAATATCTAGCTTATAATAAATATATCAGTCTATACTCAAATAAATAAAAAGAGAGCGTTTAATGTCTTCAGCTATTTTATTTACAAACACAGGTAATTTGATGGTACAGTATTTTATCTTTAAGTCAATAATTCAAACTATACATTTTTTAAAAACACAAAACTGCTTGAAACATTAATTTCCAAAATTAAACAGAAAAAATAATTCCTTAAGAAAAGAAAAATTGTAAAACAACAGTGTTTCAGAAGAAATCATCCTTCTTGCCATGCATGCTAAATAGGCAAATAGTTACAGAATTTAAGAATTTTGCCTCACTGATGTGAAGGAAAAATACCTTAAATACTAATGATACATTTTATTTTATTTTATTTTTATAGACTGTGACAGGGATCAATAAACTAATTCTAAAATTTGGGCTTTTGCTTTAAACTTGTAACTTGGTGAACTCTTTCCTCCATCCCTAAATTTAGATAGCTCTATTTCTCATTTATTTGACATTTTGACTATCAATTCATATTAATTTAGAGGGGTTAGAGAAAATGGTTGTTTTAATTTATACCGTAAGGCAGTAATGGTACAGCTGAAAAGAATCTTATAAGCAGCTATGGTTAGTTGAGCAGAGGTCAGTATTAGAGGAGATGAGGCTGACTGGATTATTAAGACAAAAACAGGTGCCCTGCTGTTGATCTGGATGCAGTAGACAAGGAAACAAAGCCCTACATATGAGGCTTAAAATAGGTAATACAAACCCTGAGGTGGTACTGGCTTTCTTACAAAGGTGGATGCTGGATTTTAAGGTCAGTCTCGTATAAGCCAACCAATTTTGGGCAAGTTTAATATTTGTAGATAACAATTATTTGGATGCAGCTCAAACTGCTAGGCACCTTTATCATTAAATTAAAAAAATTTTTCAGTCTTTTAAATGTTATGATTTTTGGAAGAAACACCGAAGGCAGATTGTACCACAGATAATACTCACCTGCAGACTCTTAAGTTCATCTGAATTGCCTTGTGCTCACTGGAAAAATCTCATAAATCCAAGCAACATTTTAGTTCTACTTACATCCCCATTTCAAATAATAAAGAGTAGGGGATATTTCCTGGATATAATATGATATTAAATGAAGAATAGTACATTAATCTTTAAAGCAAAAGCGAGAAAAAATTAATCAAATGCTATTTTCATTATTACCCTTCCTTCAGTATAAAATATAATGAGCAATGTACACAACTGTTATATTTAAAAGGCCATGGTAACTGCTTATCAACTTATATGATACTATAAGTTAAAGTGTTTTATGAGTTATTAAATCATAAAGAGATTGATATGGGCAACATACAAGAAGAAAATCATTTGAAAAAATGGCTGAGCTTTTTAAAAAGACTTTTCATATTTTTTTTAATTTCAGAAACTGGAAAAGATGGCAAGGATTTTGTTTCTTTTCCTCAGAGTAGCATTATTTCAGGGAAAATAGGCTTTTATTTGCAGAAGAATGTCGGGAAACATCCAAGTATTCACAGTCTAAATATGTCAGTGGGAAGAAGAGATAGAAAAAGTTATAGGGGACTCACTAATTTTTGATAACCCAATATATATATATATATAAAAAATGAAATCTTATTGTACTTTTGAACATGTGATTCCTCAAATAATACTTAGTGCATTTCTAATAAGTTGATTGGTGATTTGAGTTCATTTTTCTGTGACTTAAACTTTTTCCTTTTCCTTCCTTTCCTTTTGAGTAGTTTGCCATTTTTCTTATTGATGCAAACATTTGTTCTGAATTCTGATTTCTTGTATGCTTTGAGTACACATGTCAAACTAATACTTACATATACAAATGGAGTAGAAAATATTTAAGATGTTGTAAAATCTCAAATTTAGGATGATAGCTACCCTTGGAAAAGAAGTAAGTAAATAAATTGGGAGAGGAAGTATTAACTTTTAACCATCATATTCATTAAGATTTCTAAAGTAAATATGGAGAAATGGTAAGACTTTGATCTCACAGAAAATGACTCTACAACCAAGATTTCTGACCTTGCAAGGATAAAGGTCTTTGTGGTTCACTTGATTGACATGGGTTTTAATCAAGGGTAAAAGGAATCAGAAATTAGAATGTAGAAAGGAGAGAAAATGAAAGCCACTTCCAACTTTGAAGCCAGCAACAACTGCATGAGCTGTAGTTCATTCTCTTGACCTTCTCTTTTTAAGTCTCCTCAGGATAAGAAATCAACCCAGATTATTGAAGAGCATCTCACAAGGTGGTTGAATACGCTAGGAGGTATGTCAGTCTAAGGATCG